CTCTCTCTCTCTCTCTCTCTCTCTCTTTCTCTCGCTTTCATTCACTCATAAGAATAATGATAATTACAGTGATATTATAATTTATTAGTTTAAATCACAACAATTTACACAAAAACATACAAATTACAGAAACATTTGCATAAAAATAAAATAAAAATATATCTAATTTGTCTACTATTATTAATAAAATTTATTAATCACAGCTTAATTAAAACATTAACCATAATAATCAATTTAATGGTGTAGCTTATCCTCCATACGGGCCACCTGTGAGGGTTCCCAATCTTCCAGATAGGTCATTCTGTCTCCAATTGGCTCGAGATCGTCCGGACTGATCACCTTGGTCAATTCCACTTTGTGTTGTTCGAGTTCAATGCGGGTGTCTTTCAATTCCTTCTGATCGGACGAGTCCTTCAGTTTAGTTGTGTCGAAGTGTTTGATATCCGCCTCCACTTTGGCCTCGAATGTGTTAATACGTGCTTTCATTACGGCTTTCTGTCGCTCCAACTCATCGTCGAGTACTCGCCCAGCGCTCACTGGTTTGGGTCACATGTAATATTGATTATGATCATTTTGACAAATATAATTAATTATTTAATTGCTACATATTTAGATTAAGTAATTAGTTTATAAACTTACCGAGAGCAATTATCGCTAAGAAAACAACTAATATGTATTTCATTGTTGTTTAAAAGAAGTTTCATAAAATACTTTATGTAACTAAGTTTGCAAAGTAAATATTGTACTAATTGTGTGCAATAATTGTCAAGTATTTATATGTTTTAGTTAAGTAATAGTTAATCCCTTATTATGCATGGGATATGAATAAACATGATATGATAATAATTTATTATTAAAATTCTATGTGAAAACGGACCTTATGTTTAAATTAAATCGCGATAGAATTGTTTGTAAAATTTATTATGATTAATTTAAAAAATAGATTTATACTGATTATCATTGTCTATTCCTGAGGACAACACAATGCAATTATTTTATATGTATTAAATTTTGCTCTATATTGCCATAAATCCTAATGTTTTATAAAGCGCAGGATACATTTAATATATGATAATTTATTACTGATAAATAAATATAATTTATTTTTATTAAGTCTATATTAATTAAATAATCATAATAATGTAAAATATGTCATTTGTGTAAGTAATTACAATTCACTTATTGTAATCATTATAGTGTAATATTAAAAATATCCTAAATTAAACTAGCTGTTTTTAAAAATATTAATTTTTAATTATTTATTTTTAATAATTTTAGCAAATTACATTATTGTAATATTGCAAATTTGGTAAACTTTTGGTAAACAATTATGAGCTTATTATTATAAATATTTTAACTAAATAAATTGTTTTATACAATATAAAGTTAATTATTAAAATCATATATTTATTTGTACTATAATAAAAATACATTCAATAACAATTGTTGCAAAATTAAATTATAAATAGTGAGTTACAATAATTAACAAAAATATTTCCTAATATTTAAATAGCCATAAGCTGTCTGAGCGAGTTTGTTGCTCATGAATGAAATTCATTGACAATAGAGTATATTTGGGAAATACTTATTATGCATAAATCATTTAAACTTTTTATTTTACACATTATATACTCCACTATTTTGTTACAGTTTATACTTAAAATACAACAATCTCTCTCTCTCTCTCTCTCTCTCTC